ATTCCTGGGAAGAGGGGAAATGACTCGAGGGCCTGGGCTCCAGGCTTCGCCCCTACCTGGGCCAGTTTTCCCCACACTGGGCCATTGTGCTGCCTGCCGGAACAACCCTTGGCAGCCAGGAAGGGCGGCTGAAACTGCAGGCAGAGGGCAGCCCTTCCAGCCACCCAACTGATCTGTCCCCGTCGGCCTCAGGCACCGCGTGCTCCAGCTACTGGGAACCACTGGGAGATGCTGGAGGGTCTTTCTTTTCTTTTCTTTTTTTTTTTTTTTTTTAAAACAGGTTTTTCCTTAACGGGTCCGAGCACTTGCCAGAAAGACAGAGAGAGACAGAGAGACAGAAAGCGAGAAATCACCCCCCAGGGGGGATGGCCATGCTGCAATCCATTCTCTTTCATTCTCCTCTTGGGATCTTGAGCACACACGCACACACACCCGGCGTGAATTTAATTCACTGGGTCTGGGACTCAAACCATGGTTGACTACATGGAAGCTCAGTGACATAGCCATTACACCAACTGCTGATCCCAACTGAAGGTCCTTCTTCCCACTTCGTTTTCACATGCATGTACACGCACACACACATGCACATGCACACGCACGCACACATACACACATGTACATTGCCTGGTCTCTGACCCTGTTGGTGTGTGTTTGTAACATGCACAGAGGGCATTGGAGAGGGTGTCTTGAGGCCTGGCCCACGCTCTGGTCACTGGTCAACCATGTGCTGGGCTGCCCTTGGGTAAGAGGGGACACCCTGGCCTGCCAACTGATGGGGTCTGGCCTTGCAGCCCCCAGAGGCACCCACCTGTGGGAGTTCATCCGGGACATCCTCATCCACCCGGAGCTCAATGAGGGCCTCATGAAGTGGGAGAACAGGCACGAGGGCGTCTTCAAGTTCCTGCGCTCCGAGGCCGTGGCCCAGCTCTGGGGCCAGAAGAAGAAGAACAGCAACATGACCTACGAGAAGCTGAGCCGGGCCATGAGGTGAGTGGTGGCTGGGCCCCAGGGACATGGGGACCTGCTGCTCCTGCCTAGGGTAGCCATCTGTGCGCCTGCTGTCCTCCACTGCAGCCCCCACCCCAGCTTCACGAGTCAAGTCTGAGCTCGCTGGGCACTAGTAATGGTGTGTACCTGCTCCGTGCACTGCCGTTACGGTGGACAGTCACCGGGCACAGCAGGCAGTGAGCGGGGCTCACAGCAGAGCCCCTAACAGGGACGTGCGCCCGCTCCATGTACTGCTGTTACGGTGGACAGTCACCGGGCACAGTGGGCAGTGAGCGGGGCTCACAGCAGAGCACCTAACAGGGACGTGCGCCCGCTCCATGTACTGCCGTTACGGTGGACAGTCACCGGGCACAGCGGGCAGTGAGCGGGGCTCACAGCAGAGCACCTAACAGGGGCGTGCGCCTGCTCTGTGCACTGCCATTACGGTGGACAGTCACCGGGCACAGCGGGCAGTGAGTGGGGCTAACAGCAGCGTTTCTTCACATTCTCTGCCACCTGGAGAGTGACACCTTGAGCCGTGTCCATGCCAGGGCCTGGTGCTCCCCCATTGGAGGAATTAAGTTCTTGTCTCTAGGCCCGTTTCCTTCCTTAGAACAGGGTGGACTAGATCAGCTTTAAAGTCCTTCCAGCTCTAAAATCTTGGGATTTCATGAGCCACAGGACACAGCTACAAGACACGGAGAAGCCAGGGTGGCATCCTGGGTCTCTAGTCCAGTGTGAGACAGAGCAGAGGTGGGAAGAGGCGAGAAGCTGAGGAAGTGGGGGCATCAAGCCTTGCCCAGTCAGATGGGAAGCCAGTGGGGACAGGTTGCTGAGGGTGGTGGGGTCGGATGTGCTGGGAGGTGTCACTGCTCAGACCCTGACCCTGCCTGGGCACCTCTCACCACCCTCCCCTGACCCAGGTACTACTACAAACGGGAGATCCTGGAGCGGGTGGACGGCCGGCGGCTTGTCTACAAGTTCGGCAAAAACTCCAGTGGTTGGAAGGAGGAAGAGGTTGAGAGTCGAAACAGGGTCTGAACTAGACCCGGGACCGAAGTTATGGACAGACTGGAGTCCTGCAGCCCTCCTGGGAGGACAGGCAGGCCAGGTGGCCCTTTGGACAAGCTCCTTGCTGTGCTGGGGGAGATGCTGGCGTCCTGGGGTCTTGTCCCCCATCACATCGGATCCGGACCCGGAGCCTCTCTTTCCTGCCCTCCTTGGGATTATAAACCTGGGGTGTGAAGCGACATCGCCGCTGACTCTGTAGCTGCAGGCTGTCCCCTTGTACCTGGTGGCTCCTCCAACCCAACCCTGGACACGAACAGCAGACGACATCTTCCTTTTGCAGATCCTGGACCAGCTGAAGACGCCAGGAGGGGCCGCGGAGAGCTCGGGGACAGAGAGGACAGGGCAGGCCTCTCGTGCCGTCTTTCTGGACTGGCTGCCACCTCCCTGCTCAGGGCTCAGGCTCCACGGCGGGGGTCAGAGCACCCCCTAATTTATGTGCTATAAATATGTCAGATGTACATAGAGATCTATTTTTTCTAAGACATTCCCCTCCCTGTTCCTCTCCCACTGAGTGCTGGTGGCTGGATGGACTGTTCTAGGCCCTCTGTGAGCCAGCGAGGGGCGGGGTGATGCCAGAACGCTCAGAATGGGGCTCCTGGCTCCTTCCTCCTGTGAATGGAGGCTGAGACCTCCAATAAAGTGCCTCTGGCTTTTTCTAACCTTCGCGTTTGCCACCTGTGTACTGAGCCTCTGGCTTGGAGAAGGTCATGGACTTGGAGGAGAGGAGGGCAGGGGGTCTGTAGAGCTGAGGGTGAGGGCAGGCATGGACTTCTACAGAAAACTGGGTTTGAAGCCTAGGTCTGGGAGCTGGAAAAGGGAGGCCATTCGTGACCGCAGCTCAAGCCGGCATGCCGTGAGCCTCGGAAGCGGAGGACAGGGCTGGACTGCTTGCGGGATGACCTTGGCCAAGTCCGTCCCCTGGGCCTCCTTCCTCGCTGGAAAGCTGGGGCTGGGACCTCTTGTTCTCTAAGTGTTTTGACCTGCATGTCTGGCCTTGTGGAATGGATGCTTTTGCATTCCAGCCAAGCTGGCTGGAAGCTGAGTGTAACACGAATCCCGGCTTTCACGTCTGACATGCGAACAGAGTGAGGATCTTGTGAAGGGAAAACGAACAAAACAAAATGGAAATGACCTGGTGAGAAAGAGTGGGGGGAGGAGTGGACTTCCGTGGCAGCCTGGGCTTAGGCCAGGCACTGCTAGGACGCCACGCCGCCTCGCTGAATCCAATCCACTCCACTCTGAGGAGAGAGATGAGCATCCCCTTTTGCAGATTAGCAAATGAGGTTGAACTGGCTCTGTCCTTCAGCCCTTCCCTGGGAGCTTCTGCTTTAGGGTTCTTCTCAGGGGTTGCAGGCTGTGCTGCTCTGCGTCCCCGTGTAATTTGTCTAGTTCTAGACATTCTACTGAGGAAGGACCGTGTGCGGTTACTTAGGAAGAATGCCTTCCACGTGGGAAGTTCTGAAATTTGAGACTTTAGATTCTGTGGAGCATATTAAAAATGTTTCCCGTAAAGTTTGAAATACTGCTCAGCTGTCTTGGAAATACCAGATTATTCACTAAAGGCACACAGAACCAAGAACAGAAGGGTGTGCGCATGTGTGTGTGTATGTGTGAGTGTGTGCACGCGTATGTGTGTGTGTGCGTGTGTGTGTGTGTGTGTGTAAACGAGGCTTGCTCTGGAGAAACGACCAACAGTGGAAGGAGAGCGGGCAGGTCAGTGGGACCATGAAAAAGCCCAGAACCATCTGGAACCATTTTGGAAGGTATTGCCCCTGAAGTGTGAGCGGGTTAGAGAGGCAGACCTGGGCCCTTTGACAACGTCCCAGCCTAATAGTGACCTCATTTCTTAAAAATGAGTATGTGCTAGACACTGCACCCACTTGTCCACCACGCTATTCTGGGGAGTCCTCGCACAGAGGTTACCAGAATCACCTCAGGTCACCGGCTGAGAAGTGGATATGAAGCCTCTGAGCCCAGGACTTGCTAGCTACACCCCCTAGAGCCTCTGTTCTACAAAGGGTAGGGATGGGGGTGCGGCCTCCGGGAGGGAGGAGGAGGGCTGAGGCCCTGGGCCCTGGGGCGAGGGCGGGGTAGACAGCCAGCTCTGTGCACTGACCTTCGGCCTGTTTCGGTTTATGAGGCGCTGTCCTCCCCATTATCTCATCTGATCCACCCCGCAGCCTTCTGACAAGACTGGGCGTCCGCTTTTCACTTAGGCTAGTGGCTGGCCAAGGTCACTGGGCAGGTGAGAGCGGGGATCAGAGCCCAGCACCCCAAACCCAAGCTGGGCTGTGGGAAGTCGTGAGGACAGCCTGGAAGAAGGCAGCCTGGGGTGGGGCAGCAGGGGGCCCCTTGTCGCCCCAAAGGGACATGTTTCCTACTCCAGACTTTTCCCCCAAACTGCTG